GCGCTTTCCACATGTTCCATCTTTACCGTTGCGGTTTTATTATGTCGATGGCGCGGCGTTATTCGCATAATTCTCAGAGAGGGAATGTTAGTCGCTTTGTTGGTAAGGGTGAAAGGTACGCAGAGGCGTCATATCGGTTTCCGCCAAAAGCTGCTGCTCTTCCGCCCCCTCCACCTGACTGGATTTTCGTGAACAATGAGGATGAGGATTCTCGGTTGCAAAAGGAGTTGGTGCTACTTCGTGAAATGCTGAAAATGTCAACCTAGTAACCTATTCATTGGGCTTGTACATATCTCTTCGTGTACATATTTATTGTATAGTCTGTACATATACTTCCCCGGCCCTTTTAGGGCCATCGATATTTCTCTTCCAACGTTACCTGGTGGTTATTTGTTGAGATTGTAACCATTAGTTTTACCATGTTTCACGTCGTTTCTGCGGCGTTTTAAGAGCCTAAAGTACGGTTTTACGTGGGAGTGATTTGGCTTGTTGACTATTACAAGCTCATTGGCTCTTAGTGTCGCATCCACTGTGGCCGGATTTCTATGGTTGGCGGTTATGCTATCATCCGGGACTTACCCGGTTCTGTGCTCACTTGACCCGGGTGTTTTGGCATTTTGCACAATGCCAGTGTCTATTGGTTTGGTTTAGCTGGTTTAACGAGCGGGCAGGTGAATGTTGGCCTAATCGTCGTTATTAGCAGCAGTACCTACTTTGGAAGCGGTGGCGGTCGCGATGACGGGCTAGTTAGCCTACTCCTACCCACCGCTTCATTACAGTGTACAAATGAGTGTTTATTCGAAGTTCTAATTTTTTTGCTTTGAGCCAAATGTCTTTGGAACAGTCAGAGTTCCAAGGATCGGCGAATTCATCACACCTGACTCGGCAGCAAGTAAATGAGGCAACTAGGGGAGGCTGAGTTGTTACTGCAATGGTAACGGTGAATGCCAGCTTTTTGAGAAGGCGATATAATCGTTTTATTTGGCATAAATGTGTCATTAAGTTGACATGTATAAAATATGGATGTTAATGTTGCTCGTAAAACCGGGTCTCGATTGCCTCATGACTGACTCTTTTCACGAGCCAGGGATATGGCGTGGCTAAGGTAAAATAAAGTCCTTCATTACTATTGCTGTATGCAGCGAAAATGGCTTGTATGAGTCGTGTCAATAGGCTTTGTTTACTCGTGGCGGGCACAACAAAGAGGTTGACACCATTCACCTCCAGAATGATCTGACCCGGTTGAAAAAACATGCTTCCAGAGACCGACACCTCGTCAATTACCACAACGAGGGGTGAAAGCAAGGCACACCTATCCGGCCCTGCCACTGGGGTGAAGGCACTCCGTGGCGTATGATGGAGAGATCGGGAACCAGTGTTGTCGCACCATACACGTGGTGGTCTGATATGTGATGGAAGCTTGACGCTCACCACGGAGACGCGAATGCCCAAGCCAGGGATCAACTCTCCTGCCTCCCAGGAGTTGCGTCTCATGGGGTTATTGGGCGCCTGGGGAGGCACGTGTGTGGAGGAGAGGTGGCAAAACTGAATGAGTTCATACAAAGTGATTGTCACACTTGGAGGCAGTCGTGCAGGCATGGCAAGTTGGTGCTGCTGATACAGACATCCGATAGTCACCTCTTCCCCTACTTTATGAGGTGATGAGCCAATGGTAGTCATTGCTACTGGAACCACAGGAACTTGAAGGTTTTGCGTTTCGGTGGGGTCAGACTTCTTCCTACAATCTGTGCTGAGTTGATTGAGACATGGAATATTTTCAGATTCTAGAGGAAGAGAGCAGAAAATTTAATAGAGCCTAAGAAAATGCTTGGCCTATAGTTTGATTAAGCGCACTCTGAATGCTGCTCCCTTGGGAGACAAGTGGTGTTCGCATAACCGAGGGTCGAATTGGCAGGAATGCTTCCCTACTTTCTGAAGGGATAGAGAGGAGGGCCTGATGCTGTCGAGTGCGGCAGGGCAGAGATGCTGGTTCTGAACTTTGCTTAGTAAGGGAAGGTGGAAATTTACGCTTTGTATTTTCTGCTGCTTCCGTATCAACATTCTGCAATAAAATTATGGATAGCTGAAGGCGAAGTGTTTTAAGATTGTTGTTCCCAAGCTTGCATATTTTATGATATCTACAGTGACTATACTAAGTTTGAAGGAGTACTTTAAAATTGTTGCCTTTTAACAAAAAAGTACTAGGTTTCTCCTGTAATCCGCAGAATGCAGACTCAAAATGGGAGTAACTTCGAAATGACGAATAATAACACCTGTGAGATGTAAGGAAGGTTAGTTACTGAACCATACCGTCTGAGGATTAATCAGCGTTGTCTGGTCAAAGGAGCGTGACCCTCGGAATTTGCTGCATTCTATGCTTTGTTGTTGTTGTTGCTGTTGCTGTTGGTGATGAGGAAAAAACGCCTCCACCCTAGCCATTTCAGCTACTTCGCTGACATTCACTTCCGAGTCAAGCGTCTGCAATCGCGAAGGGCTGGCGGTGGTCGAGCTATGCGATGTTGGTGGTCTAGGAGGTTTGGTGCTAAGACTTTCCCAACTCAGCTGACAGGACTCCCTGCCATTACTAACAGCTGTGGTGTACCGATTTAGGCTCTGTATGCGACGAACACCGTATCGTTCTCTGAGACTCCTCTCTCCCAGCGACTCATCAACTGTGACTGCAGCGGCAGTGCTGGCGGCAGCACGGGTTGTGCGCGAGAGACGCTTGGCTGCCTCAGCGTTGCGGCTCCGCCGTCGCAGCTCGAAGCAGTCCAGCCCAATGGCTGCAGGGATCCCGTTAGCCGTGAAAGGCTTTGGAGCATTGGGAGAGCTTGACGGACTGTAAGTTATGTTCAGCGGAAGGTAGCAACCCATGGTCTTTGCCCGCTGCATGTGCCGTCTTGTGAGTCCGGGCTGTCGCCGCATGACAACCTTTTGTTCCGGGGAGGAGTGTCTGAAAGGAAGTCTACTTTTTACCTCTAAAATAGTAGTAGAGGAAGTCAAATCAATTGGTGGGTTCACCTAAAAAAGGACTAGTATTGGTAGTAAAATTGCATTCATAAAAAGCATTCCTATTTGATCTTTATGTTCATATAGGAATGACATTCTAAGAAG